GGGATAATTGGGATGGGAGTGTCAGAGACAGTGCGATTGGCACAGGACAGAGCGGAGTTTAGGGCTGTTGTACATAGGGTCGCTATGAGTCGCCTCGACGGCACATAACAACAACATGATCTTTTGGAGGTAGAATGTCTGGCTTTCTACCATAGTCCTTCTAGGTGACTCAGAACTACCAACTGTTGTGCAAATAGATAATCACTTAACCATTTGCTTCACACAAGTACTTGTAAATGCATGTATATTTTATTCTAGGTTTTTAATTAATTGTGGCACCATTATAATCAACTTTATGGCAACTAACAATTCAGTTTTATTAATTCCGTTTTTTTAACTGGACATAATATTTTCTTTTTTGTTAACTGTCAGTTTCCCTTGCCCCAGAATTCTAGATGGATTATTTATTTGATAGTTTTAAAGTTTGATTGTTTTATGTTGAGTAACCCTTTGGGGTTTCAGATTTTTAAAAAAATTTTAGAGAATTAAAAATATTAGATATATTCTTTTTATATTATCTGTGCTATATAATGAAAATAAAAATCTAATGCTATTTTTTCTCTGACCAATTTTGGCTGTGTTGTTTAAATTTTGATATGCTTTCCATATATTTAATTTTATTTATATTAAAAAAAGGAGTTCTAGTGGGATAATGCTTTGGTTGTTTGAACCCACCAACTACTCAGAGGGAGAAAGATATTATTCTTTTTTTTTTTTTTTAAATTATTTTTTGTCCATATACCATCAAATTGGTAGCTTGTCCCTCCTTCTCTAGCAGAGGATCTGGTGGATTCGAACAGTACACCTCTGGGTTTGCAGGTTTGTGCCACTAGACCACCAGAGCTCTGAGAAAGATACTTTTAAGATTTAAAGCTTCAGAAACCCAGTTCGCCTTGAGTTGGAATTAACAGCATGAGGCAGCTCTGCAGCTGTAATTTTCAATCAAATATCTGAGCACATATTACCTACTAGACATTGTATTAAGTACTGAGGATATAATTATAAACAAGACAAGTCCTTTGCTTTTAATAGGATTTACAGTATTTGGGATAGATGGGCAGTAAGCAAACTTAATGTTATTTCAGTGGTGTAGTAAGGAAAGAAATTCGTGTATGTTGTAGAGATTAGATTTTGTTATTAGGTAGCATCAATGGACTACAACTCATAGGAACTCTATGAAAAAGACAAATTGAAGTTGAGATTGAAGCATGCTAATTGGGTATTCTGAGACTGAAACATTTATGCTTAATGGTGGTTGAGGTAATATTACTGTTATCTTCCATAATCTGCCAGGTGTTTTTTTTAAAGTGACATTTGTAGAATGTGTCTTGCAAACAATTTTGTGCTGCTTTTTCCATCTTTGAACCAGATTACAGCTTCAAAATACCTTAAGAAAATTTGGAACTATGGCTCTGAGTACTAGAAGTTTGGGGAAGTTTCCCAGATTATAGGACCTAATCCCAGAAAGTCTGTTCAAAATCATGACAACCTGATGGGACTTAGTGCTTTAGGTTAACAGCCCAGTGCTTAGTCTACTGCACCACCAATGTTGCTGCTAGCCCTCATTCCATCTTTCGTTTGTCTCGATCTCATTCTTGTTGAATTGGGTTAAACTCATAGCTGAGGCTCCAACAGTGTCCAAGGCTATAAATAGCACATGAGGAGACTGCAGTATCTTTTTCCTGCAGACCTGCTGGTCGGTTCAAACCACCAAAGAACAGTTTTTGAGTTAGCAATCCAAGTTTCTTTAGACTGTGATAGCAGAGTTTTCTTGCTGGCCCACAGGGGATATAAAATGATCTGGTTTAATTTAGGATTACACAGGACATCAGAATGCCTGGAGTTTACTGAGTGAAGAGAGTGGCACAAATCAGGATTACTTTGGGAGACACTTAAAATTTTTCAAGTGATAGGTGAAAGGAAGGTCAATTGAAAAAATGGCATCGCGGGCTGGAAAGATGGCGCACATCCAGACCGAGCGCGCCTACCAGAAGCAGCCGACCATCTTCGAGAACAAAAAGAGAGTGCTCTAGGGTGAAACTGGCAAGGAGAGGCTCCCACGTCATTACAAGAACATCGGTCTGGGCTTCAGGACGCCCAAGGAGGCCATCGAGGGCACCTACATTAACAAAAAATGCCCTTTCACTGGTAACGTCTCCATCCGAGGGCGATTCCTATTTGGTGTGGTGACGAAGATGAAGAAGCATCGTCATCTGCCGAGATTAACGCCACTACATCCGCAAGTACAATCGCTTCGAGAAGCATCACAAGAACGTGTCCATACACCCGTCTCCCTGCTTCAGAGATGTCCATCCAGATCGGCAGCATTGTCACCGTGGGCGAGTGCCGGCCACTGAGCAAGACCTTGCGCTTCAGTGTGCTCAAGGTCACCAAGGCCATGGGCACCAAGAAGCAGTTCCAGAAGTTCTGAGCCAGACACCACCCTGGATGAAATAAAGCTACCCCCCCCCCATTAAAAAAAATGGCACTGCAACGCATTATGTAACAAAGGAGAAAGGAAGGAGGATAAATCTCTCTAAATGAGTGAATGAAAAATCAATTTCTTTGTAAACTTTTATTCAAATCACAGTAAAAAGAAAAAATATCTAAAGATGTAATACTGTACTTTCTCATAAATTTATGAAATTGGGCTGGTGAAATAAATACTGAAATGTAAAAAACTATTCAGATGATAGCGCTTTTTACTTCCACTGAATCCAATTTTGTTTCTGGATCTAAATCAGATTCTTACAGATAGAGTATCTTGTGCCTTTTCCTTAAATGCTCCTCCTATTTTTTCCATTTTCCCATTTTCATACTCTGTTTAGTTTCCTTATTTTTGCCTTTACTACTCTAATTTTGTTCCCTTAAAATAAATTAGACCCTCCTGTCGACTTTGCTTGTTTTATACTGGGTATTTTTTTTTTTTTTTTGTAATATTCCTGGCAACTGCAATTCATTAAGTATGTGTGATTTGTTTTTGTATTTTATTTCTTCCTTTGGAGCTTCAATCCCCAATAATACCAGCCTCTATGGCTATTTACATTCAAATTAATTAAAATTAAAGATGGAGTTCTTTAATCTTATTTGTTCAGGTATTCAATAGCTTAGTAGCTGTTGTGTACAACAGCTATGTACAACAGAACACATTTAGATAACAGAAATGGCAAAGGAGGTTGAGTTTTCAAGTATGGAAATACAAAGGAAGAGGAACAGTTGTAAGCAGACACTGGTGATTGGGACATGGAATGTGAGAACCATGAATGTAGGAA